GTGGTGGTGCTGACCCACTGAGGGCCCTGAACATGAATGTTCTATGCCCCCTCCCTTTCAATTTATAGAATCCTGAGATGATAGAAGAGTCAAGGAGGCCGTAATTATAATATATATTGGGGGGGGGGGCAGATCTCTCCCCCCCCCAATATTCAAATATGCTGAAAATGCCCCCCCCAATATTTAGCTATAAAAAATTTTGCTATGTAAAGAATGTGCTAGACCTTGGCCACAATATCTGGACTTATCTTCATATAAATCAATGCATAGATTTCTGTTTATATGATTGTGGTTATGGTTGCACTCTATTAGTCCCTAATCTCTGCCATTACACACAATGATACAAGAAATGGTAAATAAAGTAAAAATAGAGCAATGTAATACAATACACTATTAGACATTATTGTAAAAAAAAAGTCCATCCCATGTGTTAGTGAATTTTTAAAATATTTTAGGCAGGAAATTCGTTTTCAAATTTTGATATTTTTTCTGGGTTGGGACACCCTGGAAGATTTGGTCCCCCCCCCAATGTTGATTCCATGGCTACGAGCTTGCGAAGAGTCATAGACATGAGATTATGGATACAGCGAGAGTAGAGACATATAGACTCATGTAAAGATACAGCGCATTGAGAGAATTGAAATGGAGACCAGATAGACACGAGATCGATGAATTGGCTCTTCGCGTTAAGTTGGTTTGTATCGTTGGTTGGGAATATTTGTTTTTATTTGGCCTGATATTTCATGCACCTCTGTCTGGTCCATACATCCAAGGCTACTTGTGTTGCTCGGGGAAAGATGCATTTTGCTTGATTTGCTTATGCGCGCGGCACCACCGTTTGCGAGAATGTCTTACTCACTGGCCTGCGTTCCATTCTCCACTCTCTTATGCTTAAAGTTGTCTAAAAGTTCCATCCTCGGTGTATTCAGGTTTAGCAGGTTCCTCTACTTGTGACCGGTTTAGAACCAAATAATAATGACCGGTTTAGTTTTAAACTCAGCTGTGGCACTTTCAGCCGTCGGCCGTTTTTGCATCTACGCGGCTGTCCGATTTAGTTTGAGGATTATTCGTAGTTCATTTACGTTCACGTCACACGAGGTAAAGTTCTCAACGCCGTTGGGACGAATGGTTCCTCGCTTGAATGTGTTATCATCGCCGTATTATGACGGCCTTACACGTTGTACTTGTGACTGGCAACGGTGCTTTTCTGATGCTGGGTTTTCCCAGTTGTAATTGCAGCTATAGTGGCAAAGCTCGCGAGGTGAGCTTTGCTCAGGGAAGTCCAATAATCAGTGAAAAGCCGAGGTCTCTGACACCTGTGCCATATAAATGCTGCATGCGGACTTCCTGAAGCACAGAGCCAGGAGGTTTGTCATGCACACGTCTGAGCGTGCAGAACGATAACGTTTCTCGTCCATCCTTTGACATCGGGATCATTTAAAATTGTGAGTACATCGACTTTTATCGGGTCAAAATGTGCGAATAAGTTTAAGTGCCACTCAAATGTTAATGTAAATATGCACGTGACCACACACATTGCGCTGTTTTGTATTTAGAATAACGATTTACGCCACCGTTATCAATCCAATGCTGGATGAAGGCCGCCTCATCCAGTGTCGGTGAGGTGGTTGTTTGACCATACTTCGCCCAACTGGTCAGTGCCTCACTTGATACAGTAAATCTGGCTGTGACGGTCCCACCTGATGACGGAGACTTGTGTTGTTGTCTCCGAAACGTCGTGATTTAGAATTTTATTTCTATTATTATTTCTATTACTTTTATTGTATTATGAAATTTTTACCTACGTGACTTTACCGAAAAAACCTAAGAGTATGAATCCTTGCAGTCACGAAAGCTTCAAATCTAGAATGGTCAGTGCAGGTTTATGAACGGGGGGGGGGGGGGGGGCAAATATTTCTGATCCCTTTAGGTGAGCCGTGGTCATGTATAAAAGTGAAGTGAATCAGTTGGCTCATAGCACAGTGTGTTACCGCTACCGGCCTGTAAACTTTATCTCTCACATGAAGTATATTACGTGTTCTCGCTTTGAAAATATGTCGTAGTGAATGTAGTCTTTCCTTTTTTGCAAGGAGAAAGTTGCAGCTTTTCGGCGAAACTTTAAACACCATCAAACATTCGTTTCACGTTTCGTTTTTTTGTTATTACCTCGGGAGGAAATTCGAGAGAAGACCATTTTCCATATTACTATTAAATGATATTATTTGGTTCTTTCGGTAAAGTCACGTAGATAGAAAATAATAAAAAGGTAAAAAAAAAACCCACGACGTTTCGATCGCAACACAAGCGATCGTCCTCAGGTGAACACATTGGTGATTTTTTTTACTCATTTGTAGTGGTGGCGCAGTGGTTAACACATACCATGCTCTTTCGATTTAAAGCTGTCGTGACTGCAGGGATTCATCTTCTTGGTTCTTTCGGTAAAGTCACGTAGAAGGGAAATAATAAAATAATAAAAATAAAACATAATAAAATAATTCTCACGACGTTTCGGCCACAACGCAAGCAGCCGTCCTCAGGTGAGGACGGATGCTTGCGTTGTGGCCGTTGTAGCCGAAAAGTTGTGAGAATTATTTTATTATGTTTTATTTTTATTATTTTATTATTTCCCTTCTACGTGACTTTACCGAAAGAACCAAGAAGATGAATCCCTGCAGTCACGAAAGCTTTAAATCGAAAAATGCAAAAGGGTTGTACTTTGAATTTCTATTTTTTTTTTCAATCGGACTGTCTTGTAAAAGCTGATCATTTGCATGCACAGGTAAAGCCAGTTTTTTTACATCTACAAGTTGGTCCAGATGTCTTGCGATAACTGGTTTTGAGGACGCGACCCTGACCAGTATGAACTGGTTCTGAGAACTAGAAAGGTCACTTCACTGAGGGGTCAATTCAGTGGACCGCTTTGTCCACAATAGGGCTACGCTTGGTATGTGCCCTGTGAATGCGATTTCTCTGTGCTTCAGTCGAACCGAATATTCATCTTCTTGGTTCTTTCGGTAAAGTCACGTAGAAGCGAAATAATAAAATAATAAAAATAAAACAGTAATAAAATAATTCTCACGACGTTTCGGCCACAACACAAGCAGCCGTCCTCAGGTGAAGACCAGGTCTGTCGGGGAGACAGTGTCTGAATGTTTTTTTTTTATTAAATGTTTTATTTTTATTATTTTATTATTTCCCTTCTACGTGGCTTTACCGAAAGAACCAAGAAGATGAATCCCTGCAGTCACGAAAGCTTTAAGTCGTGAGAATTATTTGATTATGTTTTATTTTTATTATTTTATTATTTCCCTTCTACGTGACTTTACCGAGATCCCTGCAGTCACGAAAGCTTTAAATCGAAATTGAACCGAATATTGTTTCGATCTCACAGTTGTATTGTCTTAACGTCTCAAGTTTGAGCTTTGGACTACATTTTATGTGATGGTGGTTTTTTTTGTGCCTTCAAATTGTTACATTTGAGACTCCACTTTAATCACCAGTGTCTGCCCATGAGCCGTTCAGCCTCTCGTCATCTTATGGTTCTAGATTTGAAGCTTTCGTGACTGCAAGGATTCATACTCTTGGGTTTTTTCGGTAAAGTCACGTAGGCGACTTTACCGAAAAAACCTAAGAGTATCATCTTAAGGTGTTTACGGGTCCACAGTTGTAGACAATTATACCCTCCAACTGCAACGAATCTACACTGTGACCATGTCACAATAAGCGGAATGTTTGAATGTATCCTGCACATTTTAGCGTTTAGTTGTGTACTATATATTTGTTTTGTTTACTATAAGCTCATAATTAGTTTAAGAGTAAGGACATTTCATTTTAGACGCACCTATATGCTCCAGCAGCTCGAAGCTTCGTACGTCGCATCTCATCTTAACCAATTCTTACTGCAGTCTTGGCAACAAGGAACACGCAGCAAGCAGCCTGTAAATTCGCATTAAGTCTGCCAATAGTGGGCGATGTTGACGCTTGACGTTTTTTTTAAACTTGTGAGTAAAACTTGTGAGTGATTTAGATTTATATATATTAATAATAAAAACTGATGTTTATACTGTTTGGTTTTTTCGGTAAAGTCACGTAGGTAAAAAATTAATACAAATAAATTAAATCACGACGTTTCGGAGGCAACACAAACTTCCGTCTTCAGGTGGAACCGTCACAGCAAAATGACTATATTACTGTTTTGATTATTACTGTATAAATTACTTGCATTACTGTATTGATACAGTAATTTTGCTGTGACGGTGTCACCTGAAGACGGAAGCTTGTGTTGCCTCCGAAACGTCGTAATTTAATTTATTTTTAATTTATTTTTTAACCTACGTGACTTTACCGAAACAACCAAAGAGTATGGACCCTTTGCAGTCACGGAAAACTTCAAAGTCTAGAATTAAACTGATGTTTTTTTCAGCTTCATCACACGTCGTCAGCGAAATGGGAAACTCAAAGTCGAAAGGGAGAAAGATAAACGACGAATCTCGGAACCTGTAATCAAAGTAAGTGAAATCAACAGCACCCTTTTTTAAATCATTTATATTAAGTTCGCTTGCTTGCTTAGGACCGTGCAAATCTTTCGGTCGTTTTTTAACCCACTTCCCATGATCCAATCGAGCTGACATTTTCCACACAGACTCGTTGTGCGTGACAATTAATGTTCGTGCAAATTTATTTTCAAAATTTTCCACTTTTTAGGACAAAAATATTATATTTAATTACCAATTGCTTAATGGTACAATGCAATCATCTGACCCATAGGTGGCAGCCATCTCAAGCCAGAGGACGAGAGGACTCTAGCCTCCACGCATATAAAGGATTTATAATGAAAAACTTTGTTTTTACGGGTTATACTTTTCTCTGCTTTGTTTATATTTCACGTGATCGTCATAAATAATATCGTCGCCTTATTTACAGAATATTTTCTTCGTCACATTTTTCGTGACAAAAAAAAACACAAGTATTAAAACGCGATTGCGTGGTGAAAAATGTATATTAAACTTAACGTATATTTTTCCTCTGTCTTTCTTTGATCTCATCAACCGCCGATGTCCAACACCGTGTGAACTTGAAATGCATCCAGCAGTCAGGTATGTTTTTTATTCATGAATGCATTCATTTCACTTTTTACACTTTTAAAATGTCATACCTCCGACGTCTGACTGGCTGTAGTAATATTCTTTTAGTCGGCATAACTTTGTGTTGAACCACACACTACGGTGAGCAAATTAAAGGCCATATTAAAACAAATGCACTTAGCGCACCGTTTGTCTTATCACGTTTGCCGAATGCATCCTCAGAATCCCCCCCAAAAATATGCAAATCGGCCGGAAGCACACGGTGCTATTGAATGTGTGGGCGCGTGAGAGTTCATGTGTATCTTGATGAAGAGAGGCGATAAGAAATTGGGGAAAACGAGATGATGGGAGGAGATGAATGTCCAGTGCATTGTACCGGCACTGGGTTGCGTGACACACTGATTGTTGGGCGTGCCTTGTGACGTGGACTTTGTTGATTATAAAGTAATAAAAGACAAACTCAACACACGCATCAATAATGCTGCCGAGAATGGCTCTTCCTTTCTGGCCTCGCCATGTCCACGGTATTGAATAAATCAAACTTCTCACGCCAAGACTCCTGTACAAACATTGTTATTAATATGATGATCTAATAACAAAAATAAAACAATGCGAATTAAAATAATTGGGTTAATCTTAAACCGTACATTTTGTGAGACAATTTGAACAAGTACAGTTTTTAGTTCGTTATCATAGCTTCGGTCGGTCAGGTCATTGCTCATCTGACAAGTTAGGGAATTGACGAATGTTTTGTTGTTGTTATTTTTTGTCCTTGTGCATCACTGCCAACGCAATATCACCAAACAATTTGTTTAAGTTTGTTGATTATCAGCGTGGGAACTCTTGCCGAACTGCTAAGTGGCTCACTTCCTTACCCATTCTCATTTTAACCTCAAGAAGAGATAAGCGTTGGGATAATCGCGTGCTGTTATTGAGCGATTAAATGCGTAAATATCCCAAAGCGCTTCGCAATACACACCAATAAACATTTTATAATGATAAAAAAGGGGGGGGGAGGCATTATGACAACAACAACAACAAAAAAAGAATAATCAGAATGTTTAGCATGATTGGAGTGATTACAAAAGAGGGACTCACGCAGAACAGAGATGGACAAGGAGCCTTTGAAAGTCATAAATACGAACGAAACCTAAAGAGGCGCTTGCGTGCACAGTTGAATTCTTTCAGCCAAAAGTAATTTCACTGTCTTACTCGTTTATTGCCACACGTTCGTTGTAGCTTACACCATGGGAACCTCATTTGCCAGTAATAAAAATGATAATTGGTTTTTTACCCTTCTATCTGGCAACAAAACTGACACCTTTTTACAAGGAGTCATGTTTGCATAGACCACAATACCTGCAGTCATAATGCAAACAAAAAAACATAACTCTGATAATGTGCACTGTCCTTGAAGTTGATTGGTCCACACCCGAGACAGCTTTCCTTAGAGCCTAGTCTCACATGGGTTGGACCAGATGATGCCAAAAGGCACACAACTCAGACAATGCACCATCAGAGTATTTAGGAACTTAAATAGGGGTTTTCCCCTTTTTTCTGGCAACAAAACTGATACCTTTTGCAAGGAATCATGCTTACATTAACCACAATACTTGCAGTCAAATGCAAACAATAAACAATACTCTGATAATTTATGCATTGTCTTTGAAACAGAGTATTGTTTTTTGTTTGCTTTTGACTACAAGTATTGTGGTTAATGTAAGCACGATTCCTTGCAAAAGGTGTCAGTTTTGTTGCCAGAAAAAAGGGGAAAAACCCTAGTAGTAGGTTTTTACCCTTTTAACTGGTACAAAACTGACACCTTTATACAAGGCATCATGTTTGCAATAACCACAACACAAGTAGTCAAAAATACAAACAAAAAGAAGCAACTCTGATAATGATAATAATATGCACTGTCCTTGAAGTTGATTGGTCCACACCTGAGACGGCTTTCTTTAGAGCCTAGTCCCCATTGGTGTTGGACCAGATGACACCAATCAACTTCAAGGACAGTGCATATTATTATCATTATCAGAGTTGCTTCTTTTTGTTTGTATTTTTGACTATTTGTGTTGTGGTTATTGCAAACATGATGCCTTGTATAAAGGTGTCAGTTTTGTACCAGTTAAACGGGTAAAAACCTACTACTATATTTTGCCACTGGTAAAAGAGATCTCATACAGGGGAAAAACCCTATTAGTATATGTTGGTACTGGCAAATGAAGTCCCATTAAATGGGAACACAAGCCTGATAACGCAATGGTGCGCTGTACATTTTCCGCAGTAGTTTCACTCCTGTTTGTTGTACATGTATGACATCACACATATTCCATATCTGTGGAGAGCACGTTACGTTGCAAAGGGGCTGATGTGACTATATTGCAGTTTCTATTAAACCGTTAATATGAATTCTAGATTTGAAGCTTTCGTGACTGCATGGATTAATATTCTTAGGTTTTTTTCGATAAAGTCTCGGAGGTAATTTTTAAAAAATTATTTTACTTTTATTAATTTAAACTTTTTTTTTTTACCTACGTGACTTTACCGAAAACACCTAAGAATACGTTAATATGAAATTAAGATGGAAATTCAACGCAGGTACATTGCTTATACCACCCTGCGTATGTTAATGATGATGATAATATCATTGAGGTGGAATATTGGTTTCGAAAGTGATATAAAAAAAAACATGTTTTACAAGCAACCTTCTGTGTTCCTGTAAAGCCGGAGTGTTATACGAGTGTTCTATCACGAACCACCTGCCTTGAATGGCCCTATTTCTCTGAGCCAGGATATGAAACGCCCATCTCTAAACATGTACCGCATATAGACACGAACCGTTAATTAATTTTGTTCATAAATCTCACGCATGGTCGAGGAATCGGTACGTACAGCGATACGCCTGAGCGATGTTTTGTTTGCTCGTATTTTCGCGCTGACGTCTGTTGTAAAAAAACAAAATAACAACCATTTTCGTGATGACAGCGCATTGATTTAAAGCAGCATCTGTGTGCACGTGTGACATTTCTCTTGAACAAAACGCACAAACGTGTGATTGCATTGCGTGCTTGTACTGTGTGTATATATATATGTACACCAGCCATTGAACCTGAGCAATAAATAATCTTCGCTTAATACCTTTGTTATTCCAGACAATGTGTACGTGGCCATTTTCACCTACACGGCCTTGTACAACGACGACATGAGCTTCAACAAAGGCCAGAGGATGGTGGTTCTTGATAAGTAAGTCACCGAAACGACATTGAGATGAATCGTTGAAGAAATAATGCCGTAAAAGCACACACACACACTCGAAATAATAATGACAACAATTCCTTCGATGATCGACTCAATCATGATCTTTATTTCGACTGGAGGAATCGGTTTAACACGTAGGCTTTCCCGACAAAAACGTTTTGGGTTTAGATCGGTGGAGGGTTACGACACATTTATAAATAACGCGATCTAAACCCAAAAACGTTGATTATGGAGGAATCCGATGAGACTTGAAGCTCTTTTGCCAGTTTCGTAGATGTCTGGTAGCTTCTGGACGACTCTGTACATCCGCACTACGTCGATCTTAAGGGGTTGGTTTGATCACCTCTGAGACGACACACTTAAGCGGTTGTGTTTTCGCTAAGTTGTCCCCACCCGAAGAAGGACGCTTGTGTTGCGCCCGAAACGTCGTGATTTAATTTACTTAAATTTTTTACCTACGTGGCTTTACCGAAAACATCAAAGAGTATGAATCCTTGCAGTCACGAAAACTTAAAATCTAGAATGCACGCTCGTCGGCATGGGTTTCGTGCAGGGGAGGGCGAGGACGGCGAGGGGGGTGATGTCCAGGATTGAGATCCATATCTTTCGATTTGAAGCTTTCGTGACTGCAGGGATTCATCTTCTTGGTTCTTTCGGTAAAGTCACGTAAAATAGAAATAATAAAATAATAAATATAAAACATAATAAAATCATTCTCACGACGTCTTTCAGACTCTGTCTCCTCGACAGACCTGTTCTCCACATGAGGACGGCTGCTTGCGTTGTGGCCGAAACGTCGTGAGAATTATTTTATAATGTTTTATTTTTGTTATTTTATTATTTCCATTCTACGCGACTTTACCGAAAGAACCAAGAAGATGAGTTGCATATCGATCTCCACAGATTTTGGCCGAGGGAATTCAACTCGGGCCACCGTGTTCCGAGCGGAGTGCACCGATGCAGTGCAACTCGACTCCGAAGCTCGGAATCTAGCGTTGCGCTGCGATGACATTTGAGTCACTTTAACAGCAAGTGAAATAAAAATGCGGTCGTCCCGTAGCACGACCTTGTTTAAATGGTGGGTAAACAATTCATGGGGCGCATGAAACGGTCAATAAGCAAAAGTTAAACAATAGTTAAATGCCAAAACAGAATGAGTAACAGTAGTTATGTTTTTTTTAATATCATGCATTTTCCTCTCACCCCCCCACCCACCCCCGCTCTTCAATGCCGTGGGGCACAATATTCATTTGATCATGATGTTGAATGTTCTCATCGTTATCCCTTTAACAGATCAACAGACTGGTGGAAGGTTCGGTTTATCAAAAGTAATCAGGAAGGTTTCATCCCGAGTAACTACGTGGTGCCAGCTAATTCTGTTGAGAAAGAAGAGTAAGTTTTATCATGGCAACACAAACACGAGCTCGTCTTCGTGAATGCATTGCTTCTACCTATTGTGCTCTGTGGATTTATAATCAACAATATGTAAAAAAACCCGATGTCTTCTTTCTGGCAACATGATGTAAATGCTTACTCCGAGCTCTCATTACTCTGATAGTGCGTTGTCTTTGAGTTGTGCGCCTTTTGGCGTCATCTGGTCGAACACCATATTAAACTAGGCTCTAAAGAAAGCTGTCTCTGGTGTGGACCAATCAATTTCAAGGACAATGCATACATTATCAGTGTGTTTTTTTTGTTGAATTCTGACTGCAGGTATTGTGGTTAATGTGAACATGATTCCTCGTAAAAAAAGGTTTCAGTTTTATTGCCAGAAAAAACGGTAAAAAAACCTATTAACATGTCTTAATTTCTTAAGCAATTTTAACTCTATGCTATCTATGAATGGCATGTATTTTTGCCCAGTTCAAAAAGTTGCGAAACATGCTTATTGTTGGCGTTTGACTTCAGGTGGTTCTTCAAGAACACGAGGCGAAGCGACGCTGAAAATCTGCTGCTGTTGAAAGGAAACACCAACGGCTCCTTTCTCATTCGCGAAAGCGAGACTGTGAAAGGTATTGCTCATGCTTTACTACTGCCAATACAGCTACTCCTCCAGCAGTATTTAGGTGGCACACTCATATAATAATAATCATACACTAGCGAAGCTGCCGTGTCCTCATGGTTAGCCGTTTGCGCAATCGACTTCGCAATCCAGAGTTCGCCGGTGCTATGTTGAAACAACGGTGAAAGGCGTTTTTATTGTCATCCCCTCCCATCCACATCTGTCGACGATGCAGTCATAATATGTAATATATAAAAAAAAACTTTTTTTAAAAACACGCTTTCATGAAATGTACTCGTAATGGAAGAACTCCACGACTCCAGGAAGCTTGCCATAACGTAAGGCACCGTGGTCCAATTACAGCCAACGTCAGTTTACCGTGGACAATTAGACCCAAGCCGAAACATAACATATATTAAAGAATGTTTAAACATATTAATTTATATTTTTTATGATAGAATATAGTATTGTCCTCAGTATAACATAAGTATACCAAGTTTGCAGTCGATACCACATTGGGAAGAGGGTTAGAATTCAGTTACAATATTTGAGGATATACCAACAACAACAGACAGAGTGAGTTAAATGAAAGCGTGTAACAAAATAAGGCGCACCGCTGTTAGTCGACCAGCAAATCGTTTGTGGTTGAAACAAAACCTGGGTCCTCGCACCTCTTCCTAGATTCTAGATTTGAAGCTTTCGTGACTGCAAGGATTCATATTCTTAGGATTTTTTTCGGTAAAGTCACGTAGGTAAAACATAAAAATTAATAAAAGTAAAAAAAAAATCACGACGTTTCGGAGGCAACACAAGCTTCCGTCTTCAGGTGGAACCGTCACGGCCACGACAGCTGTATCAAGTAAATGAGAGATTGCAAGAGCTACCACTCCGTTTATATAATGGTTGGAGAGGGGGGAAGGGCCAAGTACGGCACATTTTTTATTCATATGGTAAGGTGAGGCTTAAGAGGGTGAGCCTTTGTTATGGAGAGGTACGGTTTGTGATTAAGCCTGGCCTACATAACAATAGTGTGAAAAAAGAAAGAAACAACTAAACATGGTAAAACAAGTCTAGCTGTCTATCAATAACCTGTAATAGTTGTCTGTCAAATAAGATTGGCCAAATAAGTGTAGTCTTTTGTGGTTGAAACAAAACCTGGGTCCTCCCACCTCTTCCTAGATGTTTGGCCGGCATGGGAAGAGCCTCCCCCCCCCATCTGCTCCTCCTCCAACATGTCAAACTGGCATGAGAGCAGAGCCATGCGCGTGCCACGTCAATGCAGTTCGGCTCCTGGGGCCTTTGCTGGCAGTAGAAGCGGTCGTGCAGAGAAGCTGCGGCCAAAACATTTTGGGCACAGACGACAAAAGTCGTCGGCTTGAAATGTCTCCTTCTTAAAGCTTCTTTCGTGACTGCAGGGATTCATCTTCTTGGTTCTTTCGGTAAAGTCACGTTAGAAGGGAAGTAATAACATAATAAAAATAAAACGTTTTCGGCCACAACGCAAGCAGCCGTCCTCGGGTGAAGATTGAATGTTGTGAATGAATGTTGTGGCCGAAACGTCGTGAGAATTATTTGATTGTGTTTTATTTTTATTATTTTATTACTTCCCTTCTACGTGACTTTACCGAAAGAACCAAGAAGATGTCCCCTTCTGTTTTGCCCAGAAACAAGATACCACGTGTGCTGATTTCCCTTTTGCATACACAAGCCTGAACGCAATTGGGCATTCTCGTTGATGATCTACCAGTCAACTGCTGTACTTTGGTTGTGGTCAGAATTTTGCAATGACCAAGGGAAGGAACCAGGCTCGTAACTGAATACATACCGTCTAGGGTGGAGTACCAATAAAAACTACAATAAATTCCAGCACCGTAGAGAGATTTCTGTTGTGAATGATATCGCGAAATGATAGCGACGATGGCGATGACGTGTATGCACCTCCTCTATTTTCGCAGACAGCTACTCTCTGTCGATACGCGACGAACACATGGTGAAGCATTACAAGATCCGCCGCATGGACAACGGAGGGGTTTACATCTCAACGCGCAATGTCTTCCAAAGTTTGCATGAACTCGTCAACCATTATCAGAGTACGTGTCCATCGTTGCTCATTCATCATATCTCTTCGTAAACCTTTCACATCCACGCTGTTTATTTGTACAACAATAATAATAATAAGGAAAATTATGTTTTCTTGAAACTTGACAGATCTGCAGTTTAGCCAGGATAAAGCAGTACAGAGTATGCTATTATTTAATTTATTATTTTATCTTTATATGTGACTTTACCGAAAGAACCAAAGAGCAGTACAGAGATAGATTGAATATGTTATCTCCCTCATGTGCATGGGTTTTGCCTGGTTTCCTCCAACGAGCCAAACACTCATTAATGGAAATTGGACAACCATCTTAGTGCAGGACCCTCCTGAAATAGGCGAGTGGGAATCCGTGAGGCTTGCCTGGTTATTCGGCATGCTATATTCTCACGCAACACGAAGACACTGCTGACCGCAAATCTCTGCCCGATGATCCAGAGTGATACCGTCAGACCTCTGACCCAACCCATCGAAAAAGTTCATATTTTTGCCAATCCTCAATTGGTTTTCACTGCCAATTAAATCTACAAGAGATTTCAAGATCATCCTTACTCTTTTAAAGAGATTCTCGATGGACACTGGACTCTGTACTCCAGCAACAATTTCCTCTTGGTAAAACCTACTTTTAACTCCCTAAGTTAGGTTTCTCCTCCTCAATGGCGAAGCCAGGATTTTCAGGTAGGGGGGGGGGCAACCCTTCCAGCAATGAAAGATGATAGAGGAGTTGTTAGTTTGTAAGGAGTTGTTAGTAAGTGAGGAGTTGTTAGTAAGTAAGGACTTGTCCCTTGCTTTTTATTCGACGCGTGTGCGGCGATGGCGCAGCCATCGATCGAGGGTCGAATTCGAACCGCGTTGTGTGATCGGCATCACGCTCGCTGAAGGTGTTGATGCCTTCAGGGAAGTTGCGTGCTGTATACGCAGCTGCGCACAATTCTGTGAGTCACTTATAACCGCTTTGCCGTTACTTATTGCCAATTATGGACTCAGACTATTGTCCTATCATCTCATAGAGTCCCGGTCACGTGATAATATGCTACACAGTGGCAGTGGGGGTTGCAAAATGCCGATTTATTAGAAATAAACCCCAATGATCCGATCGAAATTATGGATTTCGATCAGATCATTGGGGGGGTACGTGCCATCCCACCCCCCCAACTGGCCCCGCCAGTGCTCCTCCTCATGTGCTGTCTCAAGAGTTTGGAAATCACCCTCCCCAGTCACCTGCACTTCTAATCACCTCCCACATCTTACCATGCGTGTCTGTCCAGTGCTCGCCAGAGCTGCCATCGGGTTTCAGTTGCCGAACGAATGCGATATGAGGTCGCACTCACTGCACGCAAAGTTCGTGCCACAAATCAAGCGCAATAACCTTGCTGATCTGGCCAAGGAGCATAAACCATCACGCGAACTCATCGAGGCTTTTGGCTGGCCATCGAACAAAGACGGTCACTGCATCGCGCGCTTTAAGATGCGCTTCTGCGGCCGTCTGGAACGCTCTTCCTTCCAATATTAGGAAGCCACTGGAGCTATGCACCTTTAAATAATCTGGATTGAAAAGTAATTTGTTTAGAACGTATGGTGCGTAATAAGTTCAACATCATGCATCCATTAAGGCCTTTTCTCATGTTTTTTTCTGACAAGTGACCTATCCCTACTTATCAAAAGTGTGCACTGCTGCCAACGTAGTGTCACCATAACATTTATTCTGTTGTAGATGTATTCCGTATACTTTCTCGTGCCCGTTTAATGTTTTATTTATTTCTTTTCATCAAACACACTTTTCTACTTGCAGGCACCAATGCTGGGCTCTGCCAGCGATTGACAGATCCTTGTCGGAGTGTCACCCCAGCCCAGCCGTTTGAACATAACACGTGGGAGATCGATCGGAGGGACCTCAAAGACATTGCAAAGCTTGGAAGTGGCCAGTTCGGAGAAGTCTGGTTGGGTAAGAGAAATATCAATGAACACGCCACTTAATTCTCCTGCATCTTAACTGCATGAAGAAAATATAGAATGTACCTTCACCATTCTCAGCACACATCTGGATTCGTGCACACACACCCAACGTTCTTATTGACATATTTTTTATAAATGGATGGCTACCGACTGTGAGAGCGGTTCTGAACTGCCGTTTTGTAATCTCTTCAATATTTGCCAATCTTGACTGTGAAGCATTGACCATGATAATCCCAACAAGGCAAACATTCCATAAGGGAATTGTCGGAGTTGTCAGGACTAGGTTACAGGGTGGCCATGTCATATCAAAGCGTCTACCAATCCACCCTCCACTGAATTCCCGAGTCAAATATTGCCAAATTGCGAGGGCGTAATGTGACTGAGCCCCATCTTGCTGCAAGGATGTACGTTGCAAAGGGGCGTTGTGGCCACACTGTACACATATTTCCAGTAACTGTTGGGCATTGTTTGGTCATACTTCACCTCGCTGGTCAGTGCGAGTTTTAGTGACGGGGGCAACCCAGTACAAGATCAGATATCGCTTAGCACTCTTAGCCGTAGACAAGAGATTCGAACCCGGGTGTATTTCTTCGTATCACAGTGGCTCGTGCAGTGTACCACAGCTCTATTATTTAGAAAACAAATTTTAAAACTCGTTTCTTTAGAAGTTATTTTTGTGTTTAGTTTGTTGTCCTTCCCCCCATCGGCATCTCCGATTAGCACGGTTTGTCGGCGTACGATGCGAAATAAGTTCAACGTACACACGCAGGGGCATTTCACAAGAAGCGGTTAAAATGTGTCCGCGCGCAGCCCTCTACAAGCAGAACATGAAGGTGGCGGTGAAGAAGCTTCGAGAGGGAAGCATGTCTTGCGAAGCCTTCCTCGGCGAGGCGAACATCATGAAGACCCTGCGGCACGAGCGACTCGTGCAGCTGTACGCGGTCGTGTCATCGGAGCCCATCCTCATCATCACCGAGTACATGGAGAAAGGTCGGCACTCTTTTGGCCCACACCGGGAGACGCGTTCGCACCGAGCGAACTACGCGCGTACAGAAGCGCGTGTTTTTGTTGTCGTTGTTGTTGTCGTTGTTGTTGTTGTTGCGATTGTGCGCGTGATGGCTGTCGAAAACAATTGCTACCTAAGGCTAGGAGAGGAAAGACCACAATGCAACACAAAATAATAGAAAGGGGGAAATAAGGACCGACATTCAGCACTTCTCCAGGAACTGCTGCTAGTTGTTTTGCATAATGTCACAAAAGGACGAGAGGGCTTTTGCACGTGTCCGGGTGTTGTTTGAAGCTCACGACGGTGACTGCCGGGCAAAGCCGAGACAATACAATAGGAACTTAATGACTTTGCATATGACTCATGAGGATAATCTTGGCTGCACAGTGCTTTCTGAACTTTGGCCAGATACGGACTCTATGAGTGTGTGTGTATGTCGACCAGCTATTGCCTCGATGTACGGTGCGAGAGAAGTTCAACATGCATACATGCAGCAAGGGGCCGTCCATAAATGACGTCACGCACCTGGGGGGGGGGGGGGTCAGACATTTGTGACGATGTGTGACAAGGGGGGGGGTGTTTGAGAAATGTGACGTCACATCAAAATGCGCAACTTTAAATAAATATAGACGTTCTACTAGATTAAATAGACTTCCTAATAAATGTTTTCTCCGACAACATCAGAGTGCAGCGCCACATTAAATACGCACTACAATGACAATAGTTTAAAGCGATTTGAAGCATGTTTTAGATTTTTTTTTAGGGTGGGGGGGGGGGGCAGAGCTTTGTGACGTCATATTTAAGGGGGGGGGTCTGACTTTTTGTGACGTCGTGTGACGAAGACGGGGGGAGGTCAAAAATCGTAAAAAAATCGCGTGACGTCATTTATGGACGACCCCGAACTCGACAGACATGGATCCTATGGGTGTGTGTGTGTATATCTCTATGCGTTACTCTATACAGACATTGACCCTATGGGTATGTGTTGTGTATATCTCTATGCGTTACTCTATAGAGACATTGACCCAATGGGTGTGTGTGTGTATATCTCTATGCGTTACTCTATACAGACATTGACCCTATGGGTGTGTGTGTATATCTCTATGCGTTACTCTATACAGACATTGACCCTATGGGTGTGTGTGTATATCTCTATGCGTTACTCTATACAGACATGGACCCTATGGGTATGTGTGTGTGTATCTCTATGCGTCACTCTATACAGACATTGACCCTATGGGTGTGTGTGTGTATCTCTATGCGTTACACTATACAAACATTGACCCTATGGGTGTGTGTATCTCTACGCGTTACTCTATACAGACATTGACCCTATGGGTGTGTGTGTGTATATCTCTATGCGTTACTCTATACAGACATGGACCCTATGGGTATGTGTGTGTATATCTCTATGCGTTACTCTATACAGACATGGACCCTATGGGTATGTGTGTGTGTATCTCTATGCGTCACTCTATACAGACATTGACCCTATGGGTATGTGTGTGTATATCTCTATGTGTTACTCTATACAGACATTGACCCTATGGGTGTGTGTGTGTATATCTCTATGTGTTACTCTATACAGACATTGACCCTATGGGTGTGTGTGTGTATATCTCTATGCGCTACTCTATACAGACATTGACCCTATGGGTATGTGTGTTACTCTATACAGACATTGACCCTATGGGTATGTGTGTGTGTATCTCTATGCGTTACTCTATACAGACATTGACCCTATGGGTATGTGTGTGTATATCTCTATGCGTTACTCTATACAGACATTGACCCTATGGGTATGTGTGTGTATATCTCTATGCGTCACTCTATACAGACATTGACCCTATGGGTGTGTGTGTGTATATCTCTATGCGTCACTCTATACAGACATTGACCCTATGGGTATGTGTGTGTATATCTCTATGCGTCACTCTATACAGACATTGACCCTATGGGTGTGTGTGTGTATATCTCTATGCGTTACTCTATACAGACATTGACCCTATGGGTGTGTGTGTGTATATCTCTATGCGTTACTCTATACAGACATTGACCCTATGGGTATGTGTGTGTGTATCTCTATGCGTTACTCTATACAGACATTGACCCTATGGGTATGTGTGTGTATATCTCTATGCGTTACTCTATACAGACATTGACCCTATGGGTATGTGTGTGTATATCTCTATGCGCTACTCTATACAGACATTGACCCTATGGATATGTGTGTGTATATCTCTATGCGTTACTCTATACAGACATTGACCCTATGGGTGTGTATATCTCTATGCGTTACTCTATACAGACATTGACCCTATGGGTATGTGTGTGTATATCTCTATGCGTTACTCTATACAGACATTGACCCTATGGGTATGTGTGTGTATATCTCTATGCGTTACTCTATACAGACATTGACCCTATGGGTGTGTGTGTGTATATCTCTATGCGTTACTCTATACAGACATTGACCCTATGGGTATGTGTGTGTATATCTCTATGCGTCACTCTATACAGACATTGACCCTATGGGTATGTGTGTGTATATCTCTATGCGTCACTCTATACAGACATTGACCCTATGGGTATGTGTGTGTATATCTCTATGCGTTACTCTATACAGACATTGACCCTATGGGTGTGTGTGTGTATATCTCTATGCGTTACTCTATACAGACATTGACCCTATGGGTATGTGTGTGTATATCTCTATGCGTCACTCTATACAGACATTGACCCTATGGGTATGTGTGTGTATATCTCTATGCGTCACTCTATACAGACATTGACCCTATGGGTGTGTGTGGATGACTTCGTGAAGTCCTTTAAACCGGGTTGGCGACTGCTCGCAACCTCCTTTGCAAGGACGTCCGCGTTTCAGCGATTCGATTGAACCGCAATCAAGTCACGTGGGGCTGGTCTCTCAGGTGTGGGGCCCGGCTGATAATGTGTGCAGTGTGCGTGGTCCATCAGTGATGCTCGCTGACTCTGCGGTGGACGTGTCACCGACAGGTAGCATGCTGGACTTCCTGCGCAGTGAGGAGGGGAAAGAGGTGCGGATTCCGAGGCTCATCCTCATGGCAGCAGAGGTGAGACTTATCCACATTCGCCGATGTTGGGAGTGAAATCGTCGAGTTACATGATCAGTAGAAGCCCGCTCTGAACGTCCACCCCTGTTAACGACTCACCGCTTAACGACGGGCCTCCATAGAGCCCAATGTGTAGTGTATAGTGTAGTGTATAGTAGTGTAGTGTATAGTAGTGTAGTGTATAGTGTAGTGTATAGTAGTGTAGTGTATAGTGTAGTGTAAAGTAATGTAGTGTATAGTGGTGTATAGTAGTGTAGTGTATAGTAGTGTAGTGTATAGTAGTGTAGTGTATAGTAGTGTAGTGTATAATGTAGTGTATAGTGTAGTGTATTGTTTTTTGTATAGTGTAGTGTATAGTGTAGTGTATAGTGTAGTGTATAGTAGTGTAGTGGATAGTGTAGTGTATAGTGTCGTGTATAGTGTAGTGTATAGTAGTGTAGTGTATAGTGTAGTGTATAGTGTAGTGTATAGTAGTGTAGTGTATAGTAGTGTAGTGTATAATCTATAGTAGTGTATTGTATAGTAGTGTAGTGTATCGTAGTGTAGAGTATAGTAGTGTAGAGTATAGTAGTGTAGTGTATAGTGTAGTGTATAATAGTGTAGTGTATAGTGTAGTGTATAGTAGTGTAGAGTATAGTAGTGTAGAGTATAGTAGTGTAGAGTATAGTAGTGTAGTGTATAGTGTAGTGTATAATAGTGTAGTGTATAGTGTAGTGTATAGTAGTGTAGAGTATCTTAACGACCACCCTTGTTAACGACTAACAGCTTAACGAGAGTGCCTCCATAAAGCCCAATGCTTTCGTTTACAGACCATTACCCTGTTAACGACGGGTTAATCAATGAATGCATTGTTTAACCATGTTTCTTTAACTATTATGTCTTTATAATGTTGTTAGTATCTTTATGCGTTCACATCTATCTTTCAAATATGACAAAGTACTTTTTTAGGGGTGAAAAAGGGGGTAACTTTCGGTGCCATCGAAACGAATGAAGCCTTTCACGTGTCTTTCCTTTCCTCGCTTAACGACCGATTTTGTGGCACCAATTACCGTCGTTCGGAGAATGTTCTGCATCACACGTGACCTCAAGGAACCCACGTCCATCACCTGGGGGTTGACAGCAGAGCTGTGCGGGTTTGGGGGATTAAAAAAAATATTTAAAATGCAAAAAGTCCGATTTGAAATGATCATGATATGAGGACAATGTAATTTTTACCAGTGCAGCTCAATTGAGAATGGGCCACATGCCATTGGCCTAGTATCTTTTGTTGATTGAGGATGTTGGAATATCATGGATTCCGAGTGTGTGGTTCGCATCTATGTATGTTGATCTTTTTTTTTTCGATTTAAAGTTTTTGTGACTGCAGGGATTCATCTTCTTGGTTCTTTCGGTAAAGTCACGTAGAAGGGAAATAATAAAATAATAAAAATAAAACATAATAAAATAATTCTCACGACGTTTCGGCCACAACGCAAACAGCCGGACGACATATGTTGATCTTCTTTTACACCGTACGTAGCCAACCGTGCTAATCGGAGGTGCGGGGGAAGCACAACAAACCAAACACAAAAAGCAGCTCTAAAGAAATGAGTTTTCAACCGAGATGATTTAAAAGTGCACAGCTCCCCAGTGGCTTCCGAAAATTGGAAGGAAGCATATTCTTAGGTTTTTTCGGTAAAGTCACGTAGGTAAAAAATTAAAATTAATAAAAGTAAAATAAAAATAAAATAAAAATCACGACGTTTCGGAGGCAACACAATTGGAAGGAAGAGCGTCGCAGACGGCCTGAAGGCGCGCAATGTTGGCGACCACCGTCTTTGGCTACGCGCGTGACCTAGCGATCCCTTGGGCAGGTCGCGGATGGCATGCATCACCTGGAGAAGATGCGTTACGTCCACCGAGATCTGCGGGCGGCAAATGTGCTGGTGAACAGCTTGCTGAACTGCAAGGTCGCCGACTTTGGGCTGACACGCATCGTCGAAGATAACGAATACACGTCCAAAGCAGGTCAGCGCCATTTGCTCGTGATAGCAATGAGGAATTTGCATTTATTGGGAGCTTTTAATGGCCGCAGAATGTCAAAGGGCCTTTTTACGTCTCATCGTAACGATTTCAATGTCCAGCTGTCGTTTTCTTTTTTTTAAGCAAAGAGGACATCTGATTGACAGGTGCCCGCGTGTGGCACAATGTCAGAATGTCAGAATATTTATTTCCCAATTAGAATATCTATTCATACTGGAGAAATCCGATGGAGCTACACAGCTTATTTCGTTTCACAGATGGCATCACACGTCGCAATGCAATGGCGTCTCCAGGCTGCAAGTGGGGCCCATAGAATCTTAGCAGGGTGGCGGTGATGCTCTTGGCTATATCAATTCGGCAAGTAGAGAATCATTTGAATAATAATGTCAAAATATGGATCACGCCACCGGCCCGCGTGGAATAATGTGACGGGGCTTTCAATGGCCGCCGCAATTTAAACGGCGCACATTTATGGTGAACCAGGGCGGTCGAGGATTTGATCGGCAAACCTCTGCGATGTGGGAAACACCGATACCGTTCGGCCACATAGACACTTTTAGCACCACCAGTTAAGTTGACAACTGCAAACAGATAGAGCTGTGCGGTATATATTCATCTTGTGCTTTTTACTTGGCAGGTACCAAATTCCCAATCAGATGGACAGCACCGGAGGCGATGCATTTTGGCCACTTCACCACCAAGTCTGACGTGTGGTCATTCGGGGTCCTCCTCACGGAGATGATCACTTATGGAAAGATCCCATATGCAGGTGAGGATTTCATGCCAAATGCTAATTTGAGACCTGTAGGGATTTTCAACACAGCTCAGTTTGGGTGTGGACTACATTTCATGCGTTGAGAGCGTTGTGCCTTTTTGTTTATGTACATTGAACGTTGCTGCACTTATCGCTCTCATGGGCTACTCTGCAGCTCTCATGACCGAGTTGTTAACGGAGTGGCGTGGCATTGAAGTGAACTCATGCAGGCAGTGGATAATTTGCATACCCCTGAAAGTGTCTAAAGGTTGCCTACAGTCCAACTTTTTTTTAAACAGCTGACTGGGTGCATTATTTCCTCGTGCTCCGCGGTCGTTTGGGGTCTGCTGAGAAAGCAATAAAAGTGGTCACCAGGCACGGTAGACTTATCGGCAATTGTAAATTTTAACTTACACGCAACAATGATTGCCTTAATCTAAGCAAGGCGAAAAGGAATGGCCGCTAATCTCGCGAGGGTTACATTTTAGCATGAGAAGCTCGGTTATGAGTCTTCGTGTTCAAGATGTTTCGTTCAACAGATTGTAACCAAGGCAATAGATGTCATGAAAGCATCTGGCTTTGCAGTAAAATGCTGTACGCAAGGAAGTTCAATAGGGGGTGTGGGTTGGAGTAGCGGGGAGCGGTAGTGTAGCAGTTAGCATCCCACTGGGATTTGTGCACACTGCGTTGGTGTACAGTGTTTTTTTTATGCAATATTTTGCTGTCTTTTCTTGGATTTTCTGTTTGCACTAAGATGTTTTTTTGTTCATGTTTTTGTTTTTTGTTTGTTGCGGTTGCACCCGATTCAAGAGCCGAATGGCTCACAGGGCTATACCTAATAAATGAACTTGAACTTGAACTAGTGGGATGCACTACAAACCATCGACGCGGGTTCGATTCCCGCTCACGGCCAACATCAGTGGCAATTTTCTGAACCGGTCCAAAACCTCGACTCAGCCTCAAATGAGTACCTGGTGCGGTGTGTAAACATCACACCGCTGGGGAGACAAAGGCGGCCGGGCATGATGCTAGCCACCCACCCCCACGTGTGCCGTGTCGGCCTTCATAGGTGCTCGCTAACAGCACTTGCCCCAACAGTCTGTTAAGGCTACACGGGGGATCTTTGTTGTGGTATTATTGTGCTTGATACACGATGTTATGACACCGGCGATCCGAGTTTAATTTCATGGCCAACTTCAGTGAACGAGTGATTTTCAACTATTTGTTCAGCGCCAACAGTGGAGGTAAACATTGCCCCATACGTTTTGGAGCAGTGATTCGCTTTCACATGACCTTCAGTAAAGCCCACATACAGTCGCGTGTGTGTATATATAACATATAAAGGGACTTATGTTATGTGCCTCTGCATACAAATAAAATATTGATAGATATTAGCCTATTGGCTTTCCAGACCAAAGTTATCCAGTAATATTTGTTCAAGCAAAGCAAGCTCTGAACAAGTTTCAACTTATGGGCTTCATCAGCAGTCGGGACTTGGTTGCCAGATGTTATTTTGGCAAGAGCGCTTCATCTGAACGATGGGCACTGTTCAACACACACACACACAATTTCGATTTAAAGCTTTCGTGACTGCAGGGATTCATCTTCTTGATTCTTTCAGTAAAGTCACGTAGAAGAGAAATAAAAAAATAATAAAACATAATAAAATAATTCTCACGACGTTTCGGCCACACGCGCAAGCAGCCATCCTCAGACTTTCCGACAGACCTGTTCTTCACCTGAGGACGGCTGCTTGCGTTGTGGCCGAAACGTCGTCGTGAGAATGATTTTATTATGTTTTATTTTTATTATTTTATTATTTCCCTTCTACGTGACTTCACCGAAAGAACCAAGAAGACACACACACAACTGTATATAAAAAAAACTAATAACGTGTCGTTGTGGAGCATTATGGGTTGATAACATATACCAACTAACCCTCTGTTCTGTGTCTCCACACACGAATGATTCGTCTTCCTTCAGGGATGTCACACCAGCAACTGATCTCGAACCTGGATAAAGGATTCCGCATGCCCTGCCCAGTAAACTGCCCAAGCGAACTCTACGATCAGATTTTGCAGTGCTGGAACGAGAAAGCGGAAGAAAGGCCCACCTTTGAGTTCCTGCAGGATATGCTCTACGACTTCCACATTAGCACCGAAGCACAATATCAGTAGGCAATGCTGGAATAATGCACTGAAAATGTTTACAAAAATGAATATTGATTGTATGTATTGTATGTATGTCGAACTTCGTTCGCACCGTACGTAGCCAACCGTGCTAATTGGAGGTGCGGGGGAAGGACAACAAACGAAACACATAAATCAGTTCGAAAGAAATGAGTTCTCAATCTATATGATTTAAAAGTGCATACATAGCTCCAGTGGCTTCCTAATATCGGAAGGAGGAGCGTTCCAGACAGCCGCAGAAGCGCATCTGAAAGCGCCACGCGGTGCATTGTGGCCGTCTCTGTTCGACGGTGAGTGTACAGGGGTGCAGCTTTGTTAGCATGAGCCCTGTTGCAAAGAATCACAGGTGACCCTCCCCTGGCCAATACTATCGCTCTTTGTCGTCTGGTGCCTGAGCCACTCTGGCCCACAGGTGGTGCTGGTGCAGGTGCACCGCCTGCGTTCTCAACAACTATGCCACTGTGATTGTGGTATTCGTTTTTTTTTTACCATTGTCTACATATCTTATTTTGTATAGCACTGATCTCACCTCTTTCAATGAGGTGTGTGTGGAGAGATAATAACATTGAGGCTAAAAAAAACTCATACATTCGTGAATGCCTGGAATTAATCACGTGGGGTTTTTTTTGTCATCGTATTTATTAAGCGACAGAAAGAAACGGATGGTACTCTTTGGCTCTTTCGGTAAAGTCACGTAGGTCGAAATAAACGAAAACAAATCACGACGTTTCGATCGCAACACAAGCAATCCTCATCAGGTGGAACAACCACAGCAAGAAGTATGCGAGAGAGCTGTCGTGGCAAGAGGTTATATAGGTAAGGAAGGGGGGGGGGGAGCAAGGGGGGAGAGACAGAGAGAGAGAGAGAGGGGGGTGGTAAATTTGGACGTGACACGTTTCTGCAGGCCAATCTTGCGAGTGGCGTTATGATGGAATGGGAACGTTTGGACGTTCTGCCTTCACAGCATTTTTCCTTGCCACGATTTTGAATCGAGGGAACTGCATCTAAGCGTAGCCTGGCGTGTGGTGAGGCGGGCGGGGGGGAGGAGACGGTGGGTAGAATTTATTACAAGTTTTACAAGTGAATGCTGGAAGTGACGCAGTTGTCCAAACACGCCGTTGTGTTTTCTTTAGCACGCTTTGCGCACAAGCGTTGTTTGCCGTTTCGATCCCCCGTCTCAAAGTGTTACCCAAAGACCGCCGCCCCTCTCGAGCGCACGGAGACTCAGTACTGCTGATTCAGTCCACGCCAGCCATTGATTTGCCGCAGATAAGAAGAAGCGGGCATCGCTTTCAATGCTGTCGTACGTCTCCCCCCATCACCCCACCCCACCCGGCATACACACATGGGAAGTGTTGTGTTGTTGTTGTTGGAGCACTACAAATGTTGACCACAGGCAAAGCGAGGGGTTTGCACAAATGTGGCGACACTTAGCTCGTACTAAATGGGGATGAATAGTGAGATTGAGAATTACCACTCAGCATGATGTTTTGGTACTTGAGGTGTAAGGATAAGATGGGTTCTTTGGTTGATTTCTAAAAGAAAATCGTAGCAGTGTAAATTATGTTATTATAAGGGTTACGATAACCCGTATTTATCCATGGGTCTGGTCCAACCGGTCCTTAAAAATAAAATAAATCCCATATGCCATTAAAATTGTTTTTAACATTAATTCAATTACACCGATATAACTTAACACGCATAGTTGATAACACTAAAGTTAAGAGGTTTTTTTTTACAAGAAAGCTTGAGGCTTTTAGAGATTCTACGATTTCTTTAACGTTCCAAGACTACTGAAGAATATTTATTATTGAGCAAAGGTTTTGTTTTACTCAAAAAACAATAATCCGAATGGTCTGTTCAATGATCAAAACTGGAATTTGATTGAAATGGATTAGGGCTAAACCTTCGGGATTCCACTGTACTGTATATACGTGCTACAAAAGTTTGTGTAGGCACACTCATACACACTTTTATCCGTCAAATCTGAACGTATGTTCCGAAAAAATTGTGAATATAACCACGTAAGCACATCGCATATGCCGTAATATGTAATATGTATAAAAAATAAGTAAAAAAAAAAGTCTTTGCGTGTTGATACATATTTTCTACATCCGTGGAATCATTCATTCAAAATGATTAAAGTATGATGATATCAGAATCTGTAAATATATAAAGTGTCATTGTGATGCAGTCCTTTGCAAACTTGAATACAAACGCAATACACTTTGCTCACATGTGTGTTTTTTGTCATTTGGTATAAGATTTGCGTCTCGTTTTAGCTTTTTGTTATTTTACAACTAAGAAATGTTGGACAAATGAGACAGAAATATATATAAGAGGTTTTTTGGTTTAGATCGCGTAAATATATAAATGTGTCATTAAACCCGCCACCACCCGACACAGCCAACTAGTAAGGGTTGTCATGTAAACAGAACGTGCCAATTCGTCACTAGTACAGCACTAGTGTGTAGTATATAGTGTAGAGTAGTGTCGTGTATAGTGTAGTGTACTAGTACAGCACACCGGTGTGTTGGAGAGTCAAGCCACAACATTTACAATCTGAGTACGACGTTTCGCACGTATACATATTTACGCGATGTAACCCAAAAAAACCCTGTATTTATTATTTTATCGATTATATTGCTCGCGAAAGCCTACGTGTTCTACCAAAAATATCATCACTTGTCCGTGGATTTTTTTGTAATGTATTAAACATTGGCAACAAAACCAACAACATCCAAAAACCCGAGCTGTCTAGCGCAATGGTGGAGCCCGGATTTCCAGGTAGGGGGGGGGGCAACCCCTCCAGCAATGAAAAATGATAGAGGAGTTGTTAGTAAGTAAGGAGTTGTTAGTAAGTAAGGAGTTGTTAGTAAGTAAGGAGTTGTTAGTGAGTAAGGAGTTGTTAGTAAGTAAGGAGTTGTTAGTAAGTAAGGAGTTGTTAGTAAGTAAGGACTTGTCCCTTGCTTTTGATTCGACGCGTGTGCGGCGATGGCGCAGACATCGATAGAGGATCGAATTCGAAGCGCGTCGTGTGATCGGCATCGCGCTCGCTGAAGGTGTTGATGCCTTCAGGGAAGTCGTGTGCTGTATACGCAACTGCGCACAAGTCTGTGAGTCACTTATAACTGCTTTGCCGTTACTTATTGCCAATTATGGCCTCAGACTATTGTCCTATCATCTCATAGAGTCCCTGGCATATTGGCAGTGGAGGTCGCAAAATGCCAATTTATTACTAATAAACCCCAATGATCCGATCGAAATTAGGGATTTCGATCGGATCATGGGGGGGGGGGGGGGGCACGTGCCATCCCACCCCCCAGTGCATCTCGCTAATTAGCGAAAGGGTGCTCGCTCCATTGACGTCACACGTGGACTTCCTCTGCCGACGGGGCAATAACCCGCGTGGATGTCAAACACACCGCCGCACACAACGTCGTCTCTATCTCTCTCTCTCTCTCTCCCCTTTATAAACCTCGTAAGGATATTTCATCGACTGTCTTTATTACTTTGGAACTAATTATGGTGCGGCCGATAAGTCCCCACCAACGACTGCTGCCACGCACCGCAAACAGTGAACAAAGCCGAAGGCCACCTGCTGTGACCTTTAATAGATCCTGTTGGGGGGGGGGGGGGCAAGTGCTGTTGGCGAGCGCTTATAAAGGCCGGTGAGAGGTGCACGGTGGGGCCGTGTGGCCAGCGCGAGCCACGTTCGCTGCCGCCTCTGTCTTACCAGTGCTGATTGTTTTTGTTATTTTTCTCACGTCTCCAGATGCTTTTTTAAGTCGACTTTGCGGCAGGCTCAGGGCCAGTTCAGATGTCATTTGCCACTGATGTTGTTGGCCTTTGACGCCAACCAAGCCCAGGTAGCTGGGTCTACAGATGCTAATATGTGCATCACTCTTCTTGGTTCTTTCGGTAAAGGCACGTAGAAGAAAAATAATAAATTAATAAAATAAAACATAATAAAATCATTCTCACGACGTTTCGGCCACAACGCAAGCAGCCGTCCTCAGGCAGAGCCTTCTCGACAGACCTGTTCTTCACCTGAGGATAGAGTCATTCAGACTGTCTTCTCGACAGACCTGTTCTCCACCTGAGGACGGCTGCTTGCGTTGTGGCCGAAACGTCGTGAGAATTATTTTATTATGTTTTATTTTTATTATTTTATTATTTTCCTTCTACGTGACTTTACCGAAAGAACCAAGAAGATGAATCCCTGCAGTCACGAAAGCTTTAAATCGAAAAATGTGCATCACTCTTACCCCAAAATAGTTAATAAGAGACTACATGCGTAGTAGCTACTACACGTGTAGCTACTACACGTGTAGCTACTACACGTGTAGTAGCTACGGGCCCCGCACTTTCAAGGGCCCCGCGCTAAATGCTTCCCAGCTATCAATTCCGGTTCAGTGATTCTGCACTTGCTCTATCACTATAGTACTATACTGCCTTCAACTTTTATCAACGACTGGGTGTTTAAGATTAGCGATTTGTAGTATTATCTGGTTGTATAGCAAGTGAAAACATACACTGCGGGAGCGGTAGTGTGGCGGTTAGCGCTATGCTGCCCTACGAACCTGGAGACCCGAGTTCCATTCTTGCTCACGGCCAACACCGGTGACGATTATATGAACCGGTCCTGGGCCTCCCCTAGGTCGACTCAGCCTCAAAATGAATACCTGGTACGATGTGTAAGCATCGCCACTGAGGGAGAAAAAGGCGGTCGGGCGTGGTGCTGGTCACCCCACCGCCTCCTCGTGTGCCGTGCTACTCACTAACAGTACTTGCCCCAAAAGTCTGTTACAGGCTACACGGGGGATCTTTGTTTTTGTACTCGCTAACAGCACTTGCCTCACTAGGCAAAGTGGGCTATGCATGTGACCATTGCCTTTGTTCCGTAGCTTCACCGCAAGAGGGCGATCAAGAATTATTTTCCACATTTAGGGATGACATCATTGAGAACGTGACGTCCCCATTGCTCCCACTACTCTACGTGACCGCAAATAAAGCCGATTCACAGTGATTGGGAATAGTTTAATGGGGAATGCTTCATTATGCAGAAAATTACCCCGTCATGTTTTTTGTAAACATGACATTTTTTCAGTAACAAAATTGTCAAATTGCTTTCATTGATGATTGTGAGCAATAAGCGATTGTGTTAGGGTTGCCCTGGGACATACCCTGGGAAGAATATATCATAATACAAGAAGGAGAAATACGTGTAAATGCATTGTTTTGACAAGTGTATTGTTATGGCTTGTTTGTTATAACAAGTGTATTGTTATGCCTTGTCTTGACTGGTCTATTGTTATGCCTTGTCGTCACTGGTCTATTGTTATGCTTGTCTTGACTGGTGTATTGTTATGCCTGGTCTTGACTGGTCTATTGTTATGCCTGATCTTGACTGGTCTATTGTTATGCCTTGTCTTGACTGGTCTATTGTTATGCCTTGTCTTGACGGGTCTATTGTTATGCCTTGTCTTGACTGGTCTATTGTTATGCCTTGTCTTGACTGGTCTATTGTTATGCCGTGTCTTGACTGGTCTATTGTTATGCCTTGTCTTGACGGGTCTATTGTTATGCCTTGTCGTCACTGGTGTATTGTCATCCCTTGTGACAAAAGCTGGGACGTTTACGAATGTCCTGGGACGACTGACAGATTTTCCACGACAGCAACTACCTCAGTCAGATGACGATCTCGGGAAAACCAAGACAGTTGGAAACCCAAGGTTGTTTTACAACACAACGACGCATTTTATTCCACCCATATAATGCACCAGTTGCAAAGGTATAGTGTTGCCATCACTTTAAAAGCTACGGATAGATTTTATTGGCTTGCAATTTTATATAGAGTCTGTCAACTATTACCCACCCGTTCAGGAACTGCATTGAGAATGGCACACCTGGGTTAGTTGGGCCATTTCGTTTATGTAAATCCTCCCGTGCTGTCTTTAAAAGTTTAAAGATTAATGCGGCAGAGGGCTCTGCAGAATCAGGGAAACGTGTAACTGCTGAATACGCATTCAAATTGATCTCGGTCTTTATTCAAATCGTTTTGTTTAAATCATTATCTTCTCCCCATGGTCCAGATTATTTCACCACGCTCGTTAGTGGCCGGTTTGTAAAGTTAGGGAGCATATACGTCGGAGCGTACACGTGTAGTACAGTACAACACATTTTCCAATCACCCTCTTTCTGCCCAACCGCGTAATTCCGCAGCCTATGAAACCGTTGATGCGTAACGGTCGTCAACCCAAAGTCTTATCCAGGCACAGACCTGCTTAGCTTCTGAAATGTGATAAGATCGGGCACGTCACGGACACTTTGGTCATCGGCAATGCTGTGAACTATGCAGTATACGAAATGGATGCTGCACGTGTGCATTACTACTGTCTTGGATTTTTTTTCTATTTTAGTCTGCAAACTATGTTTGATAAAAAAACAAACAAGTGCCATATGCGAATTGCATGTTTATAATTTTACGTGTGTCTGTTTTAAGGCAGTGGTAATGAAGGGCATTATTTAGCTTGCTCACGAGTGCTTTATCATGTTTATTTATTGATCTCATCAACTACGCTGCTTTCTATTTATGTAAGAGCCCAGAACACCAGGAAGATCAAGGAGGGTGGGGAGTGTCAAGGGCCAATGTGCCCTTCATGGCCACGAGCACTTTTCTTTTTTATATACGCCCCTGAGACACAGTAAAGGGTTTTACTGGTAGGAACCTCCTGGTTACGCCAGCCCACAGGGGATTATTGTGTCCGTCGTGCAGGGAGGGGCTGGGTGGGGAGGGAGGGCCTGGGTGGGGAGGGGAGGGTGGGGAGGGGCTGGATGGGGAGGGTGGGGAGGGGCTGGGTGTGGAGGGGAGGGTGGGGAGGAGCTGGGTGGGGAGGGTGGGGAGGGTGGGGAGGGGCTGGGTGGGGAGGGGAGGGTGGGGAGGGGCTGGGTGGGGAGGGTGGGGCTGGGTGGGGGGTGGGAGGGGTGGGGCTGGGTGGGGAGGGGCTGGTCACTCCGTGGTGCCCTTATAAAACTCAACGTTTAACCTACTCACGCCCGCCCTCACAGTCGGGCATATTTGCCGAATACACCACGCCGCCGTTGACCCTGGCCATTGACCGGGCAACCCAACCGTTCCTACCAGCTCCCTCCGCAGAAATGTGTTAATATCCGACTTGTAAACCAGAACATATTTTCACACCACATCCACAATACCGGCATTTCGCTA